TTTCACCCAGTGAGGGCTGAACTCTTCATGACCGATTCATGTCTTTTCCTGAGGGTATTTATGCGAATATTTACGGAAAAGACTAGCCCGGGTTCGACTTTCAACGCCGGTATCCATTTTCACCCATGTGAGGGCTGAACTCTCCATGACCAATTCATGTTTTTCCTGAGGGTATTTATGCGAATATGTACGGAAAAGACTAGACCGGGTTCGATTTTCAACGCCGTTATCTATTACACTACCAACAGAGAGCGTGATAGAGTAGTCTAACTTTTTTATTGAGTAATGAGTTCGATCCTCATGCTCGATGAACCTTTAAAATGACGACATTGAAGAAAACCATTTGATTACTATAAGTAAATGAAATTATAGATCCAACAGACTTGACGGAAGAAGTGGCAAAAAAAAAAACAGAGACATAGTTTGGACCATCAAGGTTAATTAGACATCAAGGTTATATTTAGATATGATCCATCTCTGTGAAGAGATGATATAAAGGAAAGGCAAAAATAAATAAGGAGACGTATAAAGTAGATTTTGAAATATGATCAATAAATTTGTTGATATAAGCCATGTTATCGTGAGTGGTATTTGTTAAACAAATACGTAAGAAAGCGTATTCACTGAAATTAATATATATAAATGACAGTACTGCAATAAAAATGCTAATAAATAATCGAGTTGGTGTTATAGGGCCACCTGGAACGCCTTGATTTTCTCGATGCCTGCATAATACGTAATGAACCAAGGCTATATACGGTTTCAAATTCGAAAGGTTAGCATGATAGGAAATCATTTTTTAATCATTTCGATCCAAGCAAGCTGAAAACGCCATTAGTACAGAAAAGGTTACAGGGAGTAAAACTGTGTCAAAACACCGAGGAGAGAAAGGATTGAAGAAAGGAAAAGGGAGGATTGAGTAAAAGGATTAAAGATGAACTGGATTCAAGAAGATAGAAGATGGCGATTTGAAGATTGCAGTTATCGGGAAAGCAGGTAAACGGAAGTGAGTTCCACAGGCGGAAATGCGAGGAAAGAGTTGGAGTAGAAGTGGCCGTAGCAGTTCGCTATTTAAAAAGTAAACGTATATATATGAAATTTCTTTGTACTTTAATTGTTATTACTATAAACATTATTTTTATTGGGTAAAAGCGTTTGAGTTGCTACCTTATTACTAAAAATAACGTTTATCGTCAGAAGAATTATATCTACATATATATATATATATATATATATATATATATATATATATATATATATATATATATATATATATATATATATGCATGTATGTGTGTGTAAAATTCAGATATAACTAAAAATATATGGCAAAAGACAATATGAAGAAAGACAAAAAAATCAGATATGGTCTTTATTGACACACACACACACACACACACACACACACATATGTATATATATATATATATATATATATATATATATATATATATATATATATATATATATAATAATATACATCTTTCCTGGCTTCTTGCAACACTCGAAGTTTCAGGGACAACGCAATATTCAAGTGCTTTCCTAACTGAGCCCTTGAAGATAGCGTTATACATAAAACCTCGAATCGTGCTATCGGTGAGTAGAAAATGTTCATTATTTATTTACTAACACTCATTGTTGGATTTCATATAGTCACACACACACACAGACATATGTATATATACACATACATAGACACACACACGCACATACACACACACACACACATATATATATATATATATATATATATATATATATATATATATATATATATATATATATAATTTATAAAACGTTAATGGTCAGAAATGTATCAGACCAGGATACAGTTGTATTAAAACGTGCTGAATACGTGTGAAGAAAACAAAATTATAAATTGCTTTTCTTCTATTCTTCTTTTACATATTTTTTTATTTTAAAAGTTTTATATATATATATATATATATATATATATATATATATATATATATAAATTCAAATGCATATATACACGAGTGTACATTCATATAAATATATATATATATATATATATATATATATATATATATATATATATATATATTGGTTTGCAGTATTTATAATTTATATTACACTTTTGAGACTATTCTGAAATATATGTTAATATAAAATTTGATGTAGGATATATACATTCTCTCTCTCTCTCACACACACTCTCTCTCTCTCTATATATATATATATATATATATATATATATATATATATATATATATATATAATTACTTAAACATTTTTATCAGAAACTCGTATTTGAGGTTTAGAGGTGTGCCTGTATATAATCGTATTATCAGCATAGATGTTTACAAATGATCTGAGTATATTCTTAAGCAGATCATTTATTTAGATCAAAAAGAGGGTTGGTTCGAGGAGTGACCGCTAAGGGGCGCCAGCGTTGAATTCTAGGGCTCCAGGATTACTGACCATTATTAGGAAGAATTTTATGATTGAGAAGACATTTCCGGTAATTCCATAAAGTGGAAAGCTTCTTTAGTAAGCCTTTGTGCCACACCATGTCGAAGGCCTTTGAGATAGCTCGTGCTATGGTCATCGTGGAGTGTTTACCGTCAAGAGCCTCAATGATTCTCTGAGTGATGGTAAATAGGGCATCGGCAGTGAATCGGGCCGACGGAAACCCATATTGCTCGTCGGAGACCTTCTTAATGATTATATGGCTTCAAAGAGATTGATAATGATACTGCTGAGAATGACAGTGTTGTAGGTTCTTGAAAACCGAGCATAATTGATTTTCGATGCATTTGGGGGCGGGTTCCTCACGCCAAAACAAAGTACAGTGTCCATATAAATATATGAACAAAAGACTACATTTGTACCTCAACAGAGCAACTCATAGCAAATGCTTGCTTCTACACACGCATACACCCATCGGATCATTGGCCAACGGACTTTTTCAAATACTCACACACCGTGTCGAATCGTTTCGCAGGCCCCCATAACACGTTGATAAAGCATTTCTGCATTATTATTGTCTGCTTCATAAATTAATTGTTTTAGGTGGCTCTACAAAATAAATGATCTCGGTGGAACGTGCAGGCCATGGAAACGGTCCACCCTTACTTATGCATTTTTCATGGTAGATGTTACCCAGTGCATCGCAAACAATGTGACTAAAATGCGCAGTAGCCCCATCATGCATGAATCATATGCGTCTCCGTATGAGCAGGAGTACATCCTCGAGCACGTCTGGAAATGGGTTCGAACTAAAGTCCCTGTAGACATCTCCTGTAAGACGTGCTGGGATAACATAGGGACCTACCAGACATCACTTATAATTTCAGCTACAAATTAATCATAAATTGATGCTGGTGTCTAGTCTGTACTTCACCCGAGGGATTCCGATCCCCCACAAATTTTGGTTGTTTAAATTCGCCATACCATCTCTACCAAATGTTGTCTCTTCTGTAATCAAGACTGAAGAGCCAAAACAACAATTAAGGAACTTGTGAAATAAAGCATTTCCGTGGTGAGTGGTTAGAGGGTGAAACAACCTGCCCACGTGGCAAATGATACGGATACAAGAGCTGCTATTAGACGCATGACATGCTAGGTCCATTACACGTGTACTGATACCCGGATCATCTCCAACAGTAGAATGTGTTCATCGTGGTCAGCCGTACGAATGGATCTCAATCTTCCTCGATCCATAGTTTGTGCTGCCACGGATCCTCTAGCAACCCGACGATAAATAGCGGCAAAAGTTGGATTTTTCGGCGGCTTTCCACCTAGAAACGCAATCTAATACAGCCGTGCAAGATTGCGTCCATTATCATTCGCGCGGCTGCATGTAAAAATCTTTATCTGCCTGTTCACAATTTGAATATACTGCCATTGCTAAACGAAACACTTCTCAGTTAACTCACTACTACACACGTTAAACGTTGAAGAGAAACTAACCATGAATGTACACGAATGACAAATGTAACCTAATCTATGTGATAATACATTATTACCTACCATAAACTTTCTTTAAACTTAATAACTAAAAAAAATGGATTTGCGGACATATCATTTTTTATTTTCGTATGAGGAATCCGCCCCGTAAAGGTATTTTTGATACACCCTGAATATAGACACAAAGACAGTGTGCGGTGGATAAATTGTCGTCTAAATGACGCAAAAGTTAAAATGACACTGACATCTCATTTTAACAGACATGCAGGGTGCGATGGATAAACTGTCGTCTAAATGACGCGGAAATTAAAATAACACTGATATGTCATTTTGTCAAATATATTTACCAAAATCACACAAAAATATCTTGAAATGCTAAGAGTAAAATTGATAAATAAAATCGCCATTGGCTCCAACCACAGCCTCCAGACGACTTTTGAATCTGCTTAATCTGCAGTCTGGGAAGTTGGTTTGCCAGATGTAAGGAGTATGTAGTCGCAGAAATTGTCAGACATCAATAACTGGGTTCTTCTGCTTGTGTCGTATAGTGCAGAGTCCTGTTGCCGGACATAGGGTGTTCACACAGCCATCCTCCTTACCCCGGATAGCACTACCTTCTCAAGGCAGTGAGGCGTTCCCTAACAAATTCGAGAGTTCTTTTCTTATCAGAATGACAAGAGTAAGTTTCGCGAGCTGTCATACCTTCGTAATCACCATTAAACTCATCCAACTCCTTCTAAATCATCTGAAATGTTCGTATTGGGAGCTTTCAGAGCGAATGCAATACAGAATGCCTTTTGCAAATTTCTATCGGAAGGAATGACGTCATGGTGCTCTTTTTCTCACAGACGGTGCCCAACTGACCCTACTGTACAGTGCAGTCGACCAAGTCAAAAATAACGTGCATGCGAGAAATTAAAAATATGAACTAGCAACAATTTACATCACACTGTATATATATATATATATATGTAGAAATTTTGAAAAACAAACAAAAAATCCATATATGTAGTTAAAAAAGAATTGTCGACGTCAGACGTTTCGGTTTTAATAAACCATTTTTCAAGACA